CCAATGATGGGGCACTAATTCCTTCCACTGACACCAATGATGGGGCACTATTCCTCCCACTGACCCAATGATGGGGCACTATTCCTTCCACTGACACCAATGATGGGGCACTATTCCTCCCACTGACACCAATGATGGGACACTATTCCTCCCACTGACACCAATGATGGAGCACTATTCCTCCCACTGACACCAATGATGGGACACTATTCCTCCCACTGACACCAATGATGGGGCACTATTCCTCCCACTGACACCAATGATGGGGCACTATTCCTCCCACTGACACCAATGATGGGGCACTATTCCCCCCACTGACACCAATGATGGAACACTATTCCTCCCACTGACACCAATAATGGGGGGACACTATTCCTCCCACTAATATCAATGATGGGGCTCAATTCCTCCCACTGACACCAATGAAGGGGCACTATTCCTCTCACTGAACACCAACGATGGGGCACTATTCCCTCCCACTGACACCAACGATGGGGCACTATTTCCTCCCACTGACATCAATGATGGGGCACTATTCCTCCCACTGACACCAATGATGGGGCACTATTTCTCCCACTGACACCAATGATGGGGCACTATTCCTGCCCCTGACACCAATGATGGGGCACTATTCCCTCCACTGATACCAATGATGGGACACTATTCCTCCCACTGACACCAATGATGGGGCACTATTCCTCCCACTGACGCCCTTTGTTTGGAGACCCCTGCACTAAACTACAGAATAGCTGGGTCTGAATCAAATTCGGCCCAACCCTGAAGCTCGTTCATAAAATGCAAACTTATGGGCAGCACAGTGACTAAATGGTTAGCACTTCCGCCTGGCAGTACTAAGGTCATTGGTTTGAATCCCAATCACGGCACCACCTGCCTGGAGTTTTGCATGTTCTCCCTGTGTCTGCTTGGGTTTCCTCCCCACACTCCAAAGACATGCTGGTAGGTTAATTGGATCCTGTCTATATTGTCCCTAGTATGTGTATGTATGAATGTGAGTTAGGGACCCTTAGATTGTACGCTCCTCTGGGCGGGGACTGATGTGAATGTACAATATATATGTAATAAAGCGATTCGTAAATTGACAGCGCTATATAAGTACCTGAAATAAATAAATATCTCTACAACAATAAAGTAACTGTAGCCGCTGCTTTGAGTATAGTTACTCTGCCCTCGGTGTCTTCATGGGGTAACAAGGAGTGACAATAACCCAAGTGACTTGTAACTTACGGTGTCCAACATTGCAAAGTTTTCGCTGAAGACTGTGCCGAGTGCCTAAGGAAAGTTAGTATATCTGTCTTGCAGCACTGGGTCTTTGGTTTGAAACTTGGCTAGAACACAATCTGCATTAGTTTGCATGTTCTTCCTGTGCTTCTTTGGTTCCCTTCGGGTACTTCGGCTTCCTCCAAAAAGCTCCAAATGCAGGCTGGTAGGTCAATGGGCTTCTGTCTAAATTGGCCCCCATGTGCATGTGAGATAGGGGACATTGGATAGTAGGGGGCTGATATGAATATACAATATCTGTTAAAATGCCAACGTACATTGTTGGCGTTATATAAATATCCATAAAAATAATATTAATAATGTTTTTCATCATTTTACAATCCAACTCATTCATGGTGTAACCTGCACCATCTGCAGAAGAAAGCTCCCTGGAGAGAAATGACCTTTTTAATACATTGAGATCTTAACAGCTCTTGATTATATTCCTCCTTATCTTCAATCCTCTTTTATGCTCTTATCTTCCTCTCTCAGCCCTTGCCAACAGAAAGTTTGGATAGTGTAAAACCCGCATCGTTCTTACCCCAAAGGAGCCACTGATAAAATGGGTCCCGTGTTTCCTGGTGACAACGACCCTTCCAGCAATACAACGCCCTCCAACCCACCAAAGCTAAATTAGGAGGATTTTTTTTTGGGAAATAACAAATTACAACAGTGATAGCAACAAACAATACCAAATAATACATTTCTACAACACCCCCTGGTGTACCCAAGTGTCTCCGAACACTGAAACTAAGGAGGAGGTCCTTACTAAAGAGATGGAACTAAAAGCTAAAGGTCCTTCAGACTCTCCAAACCCACCCTTAATATATTGAGATCTTAACAGCTCTTGATTATATTCCTCCTTATCTTCAATCCTCTTTATGCTCCTATCTTCCTCTCTCAGCCTTGCCAACAAAAAGTTTCAGATAGTGTAAAACCTGCATAGTTCTTACCCCAATGGAGCCGCTGATAAATGGGTCCCCTGTTTCCTGGTGACAACGACCCCCCTTCCAGCAATACAACTCCCTCCAACCCACCAAAGCTAAATTAGGAGGATTTCTTTGGGAAATAACAAATTAGAACAGTTGATAGCAACAAACAATACCAAAGAATACATTTCTACAACACCCCTGGTGTACCCAAGTGTCTCCGAACACTGAAACTAAGGAGGTCCTTACTAAAGAGATGGAACTAGAAGGCTAAAGGTCCTTCAGACTCTCCAAACCCACCCTTTAATATATTGAGATCTTAACAGCTCTTGATTATATTCCTCCTTATCTTCAATCCTCTTTATGCTCTTATCTTCCTCTCTCAGCCTTGCCAACAGAAAGTTTGGATAGTGTAAAACCCGCATAGTACTTACCCCAAAGGAGCCGCTGATAAATGGGTCCCCCTTTTCCTGGTGACAACGACCCTTCCAGCAATACAACGCCCTCCAACCCACCAAAGCTAAATTAGGAGGATTTCTTTTGCGAAATAACAAATTAGAACAGTGAAGCAACAAACAATACCAAATAAAACATTTGTACAACGCCTCAGGAGTGCCCAAGTGTCTCTGAACCACGAAACTAAGGAGGTCCTTACTAAAAATGGAACTAGAAGCTAGAGGTCCTTCAGAATCTCCAAACCCACCCTTAATATGTTGAGATCTTAACAGCGCTTGATTATATTCCTCCTTATCTTCAATCCTCTTTTTGCTCTTATCTTCCTCTCTCAGCCTTGCCAACAAAAAGTTTGGATAGTGTAAAACCCACATCGTTCTTACCCCAAAGGAGCCACTGATAAATGGGTCTCCTGATTCCGGGTGACAACGACCCTTCCAACAATGTCACTCCCTCCAGCCCACCAAAGCTAAATTAGGATTTCTTTTGGGAAATAACAAGGAAACAAACTAGAACAGTGATAGTAATAAACAATACCAAATAATACATTTCTACAACACCCCTGGTGTACCCAAGTGTCTCCGAACACCGAAACTAAGGAGGTCCTTACTAAAGAGATGGTACCAGAAGCTAAAGGTCCTTCAGACTCTCCAAACCCACCCTTAATATATTGAGATCTTAACAGCTCTTGGTTATATTCATCTATATCTTCAATCCTCTTTATAATTGTCAGGGCAGGAGCTGAGGAACAGGTAGGCCTAATAACAATGTAACGCACTAGCTGGCAACAACCACCACCCACAGACCGAAGTCCCCCAGGGCGCGGAGTCTAAGTCCCAGGCTGCCCTTCACCAGGGCCCCTGATGGTGGGGATGGACTTGACGCAGCCAGGAACCAGGTCGCGGCCCCCCCGAGACACCTCAGTTGCGGTAATGGCCGCCGCCAATGGCATGTAGCTGGTGGAAAAGGCAATAGAGTAGTCGGGCAGGCCGGGTCGACAACAACGGGACAAAACAGTACAGGACAGCAGACAAGAATCACGGTTCACGGGCCGAGTTCAGCAACGGAGGGTCAGATCAAAGGAGAACACAAAGAATGGTCAGGTCACAAGCCGAGTCAGATTCCAGGAGAGTCACGAGAGTCAGAACAGAGTTATAGCAACACAAAGACACAAGACACAAGTGCAAAGGGCATGTGCGGACCACAGGCTTATATGTCATCAGCCACACCCCTCTGGGGGATGGACCTCAGAGACCAGAAGGCATAAAAGATTCCCCACCATGCTCTGCAGAAACCCAACATGGATGCCAGCAAATGGAGTAACATAACCTCTGGGAAAAGGTAGGACCTTGACAATGATCTTATTTTCCTCTCTCAGCGTTGCCTCCAACCCACCAAAGCTAAACTACCCTGAAACTAAGAAGGTCCTTATTAAAGAGATGGAACTACAGGCTAAAGGTCCTGCAGACTCACCCCCTCCATTGGCCTGTGTAGTGTAACTGTTGGGGAACAAAGTTCAAGCTTCAAGTGCATCGCCCAGTACAGGGTGTACAGTGTATTTAGACCTCCTTTACTTTTATAAAAATTGTCTTCTCATTAATGTACACTTAGTACCTTTGTAGGTGCCTCCCATTTCTGAGATGTTCCTACAGCTTGATTGGAGTCCACCCATGGTAAATTCAATTGGGGGCACACACCTCTCTGTAAAAGGCCTCAGAGCTGACAATGCATACTGTATCAGAGCAAAAGACAACAGGTTTTAAAGCATCGCCGATTTTTGGAAGTGTGCTTTGTCATTTCAAAGATGCACAGTTTTAAAGCTTGACGTGTTTGATATCTATTCACTTAAATCAACTTTTATACAGTTGTGTTTTCCTTCCTTGGCAGAAACGGTGAAATTTTGCCATTGATATTGAAAATATGGCAAATCTTGGCAACAAACTGTCTTTTGTTTAACCAGTTGCCGACCGCAGATAGCCGAATGACGGCTACACTGCGGCCGGCCAGTTCTGGGAGGGCATCATATGACGTCCTCCCAGAACGCGCTCTCCTGCGCGCCCCCCGGGGGCGCGCGCACCGGCGATCTCCGTGATCGTTGTGTCCTACGAACACAGCTGATCACGTGATGTGGTAAAAGGCCAATCACAGCAGCCTTTTACCACGTGATCAGCCTTGTCCAATGACACGCTGATCACAGGGAAATGCAATTGCCGGTTCTCGGCTGCACTTTCTTCACGCTGTCAGATCATTAGGGAAGTACTGCTGAGAACCGGCAGTTGTCAGAGCAGGGATCAGCACCGAGCATCAGGGCACTGATGATCAGTGCCCTGATGATCGGTGCCCAGCAGTGCACCCTCCTGTGCCCAGCAGTGCACCCACCTGTGCCCAGCAGTGTCCACCAGTGCCACCCAGAAGTGCCACTTACCTGTGCCCAGCAGTGCCACCCACTGTGCCCACCAGTGCCACTCACCTGTGCCCAGCAGTGCCACCCACCTGTGCCCACCAGTGCCCATCAGTGCAGCCCAGCAGTGCTGCCAGTCAGTGCCCAGCGGTTGTGCCAGTCAGTGCCCAGCAGTTGTGCCAGTCAATGCCTAACAGTGCCGCCAGTCAATACCTAGCAGTGCCACCAGTCAGTACCAGCAGTGATGTCAGTCAGTGCCACCTATCAGTGCTTTCTATCAGTACCCATCATCGGTGCCGCCTATCATTGCCACCTATCAGTGCCACCTAGCCGTGACACCTCATTAGTGCTGCCTATCAGTGCCGCCTATCAGTGCCCATCAGTGCTGCCTCATCAACGCACATCAGTGAAGGAGAAAAATTACCTGTTTGCAAAATTTTATAATAGAAACAAAGAAACTTTTTTTTTTTTAATCAAATTTTTTGCACTTTTTTTGTTTATAGCACAAAACGTAAAACCCCCAGCGGCAATTAAATACCACCAAAAGAAAGCTCTATTTGTGAGAAAAAAATGATAAAAATTTCATATGGGTACAATCTTGCATAACCGCGCAATTGTCAATCAAAGTGCGGCAGCGCTGAAAGCTGAAAATTGGCCTGGTAAGGAAGGGGGTATAAGTGCCTGGTAGGCAAGTGGTTAAGGATAGTGATGATAGGAAGCCATTTATTATCACATCGTTATTTGGCTCCTTTTTATATCCTAATGATAACAGCCATCCCCCAAATGGAGGGGATCAGAAGTCTCCGCCCCCTGGAAGGTTAGTCCTTGGTACAGACACACAAGGTGACACACACAGGGTACAATGGCCATTAAAGGTTCTTTTCCCACATCTGTGGCTTTCTAAATTGCAATCAGTGTCAGTGTATAAATAGTCAGTGAGTTTGTTCGCTCTCACGTGGATGCGCTGAGCAGGCTAGATACTGAGCCATGGGGAGCAGAAAAGAACTGTCAATAGACCTGCGTAACAAAGGAATGGAACCTTATAAAGCTGGAAAAGGATATAAAAAGATATCCAAAGCCTTGAATATGCCAGTCAGTACTGTTTAATCACTCACTCAAGAAAATTTGGGGATTTCTTGATACCAAACCAAGGTCAGGTATACCAAGAAGGATTGCAGCCACAACTGCCAGAAGAGTTGTGCAGGATACAAGGAAACCCCCCCACAGGTAACCTAAGGAGAAATACAGGCTGCTCTGGAAAAAGACAGTGTGGTTGTTTCAAAGACCACAATACGACGATAATTGAGCTGCATGGTGGAGTTGCCAGAAAGAAGTCTTTACTTAAGTAAGCCATACAATGGCAGCAAGGAAAGTTTTAAACAAACTACCGGCTGCTGCAGCCTGTATGTAAATTTGACAAGCTGACTGTCATCTGTCAGAGGGAAGTGACTGGCTGCTTGTACAGCTGTCCAATTGCCTCCACACACCTTGGGAACATTGGCCTCCCCCATGCACTTGCCCGCCATGTTTCCTGGCCTCCGCACTCCGAGAAAATCGTTTACAGGTCTGGCCTTCACTTTCACTAGCTTTTGTGGCCGGTGAAGAATCTAATGGAGCATTATCTTCAATGTAGGATAGATGAGACATCAGGGGTCTAATAGACCCCCCCCCCATGCACTCCTAGGAAATCACTTCCAGGTCCAGCTTTCACTTTCACTATCTTCTGTGGCCAGGGAAGATGCTAATGGAGCATTATCTTCAATGTAGGATAGATGAGACATCAGGGGTCTAATTGACCCCTGATGTATCAATAAAGAGGACCTTCACTTTCATTAGCCTTTGTGGCCAGTGAAGAATCTAATGGAGCATGGTCTTCAATGTAGGATAGGTGAGACATCAGGAGTCTAATAGACCCCCCATGAACTTCCTTGCCTTGTTACCTGGCCTCCGCACTCTTAGGAAATCACTTCCAGGTCCAGCTTTCACTTTCACTATCTTCTGTGGCCAGGGAAGATGCTAATGGAGCATGATCTTCAATGTAGGATAGGTGAGACATCAGGGGTCTAATAGACCCCCCCCCCATGCCCTTGCCCATCATGTTACCTGGCCTCCACACTCCTAGGAATCACTTCCAGGTCTGGCTTTCACTTTCAATAGCTTCTGTGGCCAGGGAAGACACTAATGGAGCATGATCTTCAATGTAGGATAGGTGAGACATCAGGGGCCTAATAGACCCCCCCATGCACTTGCCCATCATGTTACCTGGCCTCCACACTCCTAGGAATCACTTCCAGGTCTGGCTTTCACTTTCACTAGCTTCTGTGGCCAGGGAAGACACTAATGGAGCATGATCTTCAATGTAGGATAAATGAGACATCAGGGGTCTAATAGACTCCCCCCATGCACTTGCCCATCATGTTACCTGGCCTCCACACTCCTAGGAATCACTTCCAGGTCTGGCTTTCACTTTCGCTAGCGTCTGTGGCCAGGGAAGACACTAATGGAGCATGATCTTCAATGTAGGATAGGTGAGACATCAGGGGTCTAATAGACCCCCCATGAACTTCCCTGCCTTGTTACCTGGCCTCCGCACTCCTAGGAAATCACTTCCAGGCCTGACTTCACTTTCACTAGCTTCTGTGGCCAGGGAAGACACTAATGGAGCATTATTTCAATGTAGGATAAATGAGACATCAGGGGTCTAATAGACCCCCCCCATGCACTTGCCCATCATGTTACCTGGCCTCCACACTCCTGGGAATCACTTCCAGGTCTGGCTTTCACTTTCACTAGCTTCTGTGGCCAGGGAAGACACTAATGGAGCATGATCTTCAATGTAGGATAGGTGAGACATCAGGGGTCTAATAGACCCCCCCCATGAACTTCCCTGCCTTGTTACCTGGCCTCCGCACTCCTAGGAAATCACTTCCAGGTCCGACTTCACTTTCACTAGCTTCTGTGGCCAGGGAAGACGCTAATGGAGCATGATCTTCAATGTAGGATAGATGAGACATCAGGGGTCTAATAGACCCCCCCCCACACACTTGCCCATCATGTTACCATCATGTTACCTGGCCTCCACACTCCTAGGAATCACTTCCAGGTCCGGCTTTCACTTTCACTAGCTTCTGTGGCCAGGGAAGACGCTAATGGAGCATGATCTTCAATGTAGGATAGGTGAGACATCAGGGGTCTAATAGACCCCCCCCCCATGCACTTGCCCATCATGTTACCTGGCCTCCGCACTCCTAGGAATCACTTCCAGGTCAGGCTTTAACTTTCACTAGCTTCTGTGGCCAGGGAAGACACTAATGGAGCATGATCTTCAATGTAGGATAGGTGAGACATCAGGGGTCTAATTGACCCCTGATGTCCCAATAAAGAGGATCTGTCACAAAAAAGTAACACTTTTGTCTCCTATGTAATAAAAAATAAAGTTTAGTAAAAAAAAAAAAAAAAGATACTCCCATGCACTTAAACCCCCCCACATTTTGTATGCCCCCCACCCCCACATACAAAGGCAATCACATGTGTCAGTGGTACACGGAACAAAACCGTTGATTGCTCTACACATGTTATATATCACTGCACATACAGGATGAGAGCAATAATTCTAGGCCCATCATTCAGGGGTAACTCTAAACGGATGACCTGCGGGGGCTTTTAAATCATCACCTATGGAAAATTTTGGTAAGTAGAGTTTGTTGCCGTTTCACCAGTACACACAGGCAATTTTAAGGCTTGACGTGTTGGGTATCTATTTACCCGCTGCAACCTCATCTTTTATATTTTCCAAAACAATGGATAATATGGTCTGTTTGTGAACCCTAAAAATAACTCCTGAGTCGTTTTTTTTACTGAAATCTTGTACTTGAAAACTATGGCACTATTTTGCGTGACATTAAAAAAACTGGAACTACCACTATTTAATTCTCAAGGAACTACCACTATTTCAGAAAAAAATATAATGTTTTTTTTGGGGGGGGGGGTTAACTAATCTTCAGGACTAAAGTAATTTTTGTATGGAGAAAAAAGGTGGCGCCATCTAGGTGGCTCCCAGCGCTTCCTGTAGACTCAGGTAGTTACATAGTTAGTCTGGCTGAAAAAACACAAAAGTCCATCGAGTTCAACCATTAAAAAAAAAAGAAAGTTATAATCCTACACCCACAGCTGATCCAGAGGAAGGCAAAAAAAACCCAGCAAAGCACGATCCAATTTGCTCCTGCAGGGGAAAAAGATTCCTTCCTGATCCCCCCGAGAGGCAATCGGATATTCCCTGGATCAACTTTCCCTATAAATGGTATATCCAGTTCAGGGGCGGACTGACCATTTGGGAACTCGGGCACTGCCCGAGGGCCCGGGGTCAGTAGGGGCCCCATGAGATGCCCTGGTACCTTTTTCATAAGCTTTTTTGAGTTTGGGCAAGGACACAGGGGCCCCATGATGCCCTACTGCCCGGGGGCCCCATGAGTTGTCAGTCCGCCCCTGATCCAGTTATATTCTGTGTATCCAAGAAAGAATCTAGGACTTTCCTACAGCAATCCACTGAGCTGGCCACAACCAACTCTTGAGGGAATCTATTCCACATTCTCACAGCTCTCACTCTGAAGAAACCTTTCCGTGTTTGGACGGTACAACAGGAAGGAGAAGCCGACGTCACTTCCGGTCACGTGGGGAGCGGGAGGTGGCGAAGCTTTCGGAGCATGGGTGCAACCTCTTCAGGCTTTGGCAGGGGCCATCTTTGTGTGGGCATGTATGGACAACAGGCACAAAAAAAGTTAAAGAAGCTCTATGGACTCTCACCTTTTGGTTTGGCGCCTTTTTCGGTGCATTCATACTATGAGTTACATCCGGGCATCCATCAAGGGAGACCCATTTTCTTTGAGAGTCGACCTAACAGAGCCATGGAGCTTCTTGGAAAATCTCCTAGCAATTGATGATTTGAATAAATATTAAAATCCCAGCACCTCCTAAATACGTTTTTATCTGGGATCTCCCGGCAGGGGGAATGCACATTTATAATATAGGCCGGGGGTGGTTCCCACACTAATAATCAATACAAGTCATGTGGAAGGTTTTGCACCATCTGAGCTTTTTATGTGTTGGCGTCACTGAGAGAGGAAGATAAGAACATAAAGAGGATGGAGGACAAGGGGGAGCATAGACAAGCCCTGGAAGACCTTTATAGAACAAAAGGTCAGTTCTTTCCGTTGAGTGCGGGATTGTACAAGGAACGGATTGGGTTGCACCAGTGGTAAAGAAGCATCATCTGTGAGAGACTTTGTATTGTTAGACTTTTGGGTCAATTA